AAGGAATTCCCTTCCCCTTTGTGCTTCCCAGGTGAGGCAATGCCTCACCTTGTTTCAGCTCTTGCTGGTCGGGTTGCACCCACGGAGCAGCATCAACTGTCCGACATGCCCCAGTGAGATTAACCCAGTACCTCAGTTGAAAATGCAGAAATCACCTGTTTTCTGTGTCGCTCACACTGGGAACTGAAGGCTGGAGCTGTTCCTATTCCGTCTTTTTCTTAAAGAGAGCTTACCTTAGTGTTTTAGTCCCCACAAAACCTGCATTCTTTCCTGCATTGGATACAGATGCTTACTCTTGAGTGACAAACTTAAGGTTTTTGTTTTTTAATGAAGTTTGTAGTGTAAAATATAATTGATTTTATTGCCATTACATCAGAAGATAGCATAAGCCCAAGTTGTGGCATAATTAAACATAAACTATCCTAGAATCAAAGTAGACAGCTCACCAAACCATGCTTAGTAGGACATTCCATGCATTAAGTCCAGGTCTATTGCCTACCAGTACTCTATGAGTCATTCATTAAGTATACTAATATAGTTGTAGAAAAACTATTCTAAGAAAGCTATGTCATTAACAAGGCTCCCAGATCCCATTTTTTATAAAGCAAATTCAAGAACAAGCATTCAGTAGTCACTAATTATTGCACTTCTCACCACAGTTTCTAATTTTTCTAATGATGGAACAGGCTATTCTTTTTATGTAAAGAGGAATCCTACTTATCTGACCACAGCTTTCTCCTGGTGAAGACAGATGTGCTAGAAAGCTATTGACATTCTCTGATTGGTGCCTCCCTGAACTCACAGACAAAAATCAGGGTAATGATGAGGTTGAAAGTGTCCTGGGGTCATAGAGCAGGTTAAAACTAAATGGTCTGCAGAAATACTAAGCCCCTAATGCTGACCTAATTGCCCCAGGATTCCAGCCAAATGAACAAACTGCCCACCTGCCTTAATAGACACAAAATACACCCAAATCTAACTAAAATACACTTGTATTAAGTGGGGTCCATGTAATTATAGTTATGTTTAATGGTTTCTCTTACATTTCCTTATAACTCATTAAATTCTTGTTACTTTTCCCATTTCCAGCACCAAAAAAAAAAAAAAAAAAAAAAAAGTTTGTGTATATTTCTCCTTGTAGATGTCAAATAAAATCTTATAAGCAAATACTTGGCCACCACCATAGTGATTCCAAGAACTCACTTCTCTGAAGTTCTTCTCATGTAAGCCATCACAACTCTAACAATGCAGCATACTCATTTCTTAAGGCATTTAATAATGAAAAGAGGAGAAAAGAAGAAAAGTATTGATGGAAAACTGAAACCGAAAGGTGACCTAAGAATGGGTTGTGACAGCAAATAATTACTGGCTCTCTCTATTTCACTTTATTGCTTTTCTTCATTTTTTTTTCTCCTTACTTTGACTTTATACAGCTTTGTCTTCTACCTCCAGACTCCACCCTATTTTTAAAATGTCTATGAACATCTTAATTTAGACAGGAAGATGGGCCATGAAAGCATTACCAGTCAACCAGAAAGAACCCAGGAAACACCTAAGCAACCTGACTCTTCCCCACCTCTTTTGGTAGTAAATTCAGTCACTAACAAAAGCAAGTTTCACCTGCCCTCTCCAAACCCACTTCCTCTGGCCTTATTCAGGTCAAGGTTTCTTATCTAGAGTGTTGCTTTATGTGTCACAAACTTGTTTCTCTATCCCCATTTATATACACAGAGTTCACACCTCAGTCAGAATAATCACATACACAGACATACACATACACATAGACACAGACACAGACACACACACACTGTTCACACCTCAGTCAGAATAATCTCCGTAAAGAACGAAAACAGTGAAGCTCCTTCCTATTAAAACACTATAGAATTGCCCCATTATCTACAGAATAAGATCTGAGAGCCAAGCGTGATATGTAAGTCCTTCCATGACCAGGCCCTTCACCCACCTACACAGCAACAACATTCATCAGACTACAATGAAGGGCTACTTTTGCTTCTTGCTTCCCCAAAGAGATTATGTTTCTTGATGACAGCAACGTCTTTGAAACATGTTGTGGATTCTGAGCCACAGTGAGGCTTCACACAGAGTACCTAGGGATAAGTTCGTTGAACAGAATGAAACAGAATTAACCATGGCCCATAAATGGGCACGGGTGGTTTCCCAACCTAGGGCATTACAAATGTTAAGCCATGAAAGCAAATTTCTCTACAAAATTTGTTTCCAACTGGAGAAATATGATTTCCCATTGCCCCTAGTCTTATGCCCCAGATCAGGCTGACACACAAAGGTGCAGGGGTCCTGTGACTTGATACCAAAGTGTGGCCTCATGCTGGCATCCTCAGAACAAAAACTCTGGCATAGAGCCACCTTGGGGGCCTGCTCCCATATCAGATGTTACCAGGGGCTCTCCAAAATGAGGATCCTACCTGGGCTTGTAAGTGTGCAAAACTGATAACGCTGCATTCCCTGTTTCCTCCGCCATTAAACTTCTTGAAACAGTGATCAATTTTCATGTTGCCCTCTTCCCCTTTTACTTCATCCTCTGCCCACTGCAATTTTTCCCATGCTCTACGCCTTACCATCACTCTAATGAAACTATACCTTTCACAGTCACCAGTGACCCCCAGATCAAGAAGGCTCCTGGGGGTCCTTTTAGTCCCCACGTATCTTTCTCTCTGAAACGGACTACTGTGGGGTCCCCCTTTGATTTGCTGCACTGTTGTACCTTGGTTTCTTGGCCACTTTGCTGTCCAAAATGACTTCAAATTGGCTGAACTGCTCTTTCCCTATCTCCTTAGCTGGCTCCTGTGCCGCCTCCTCCCGTCTGCTCCCATCTCTCATGGAGTGTTCCAGAGGGTGCACTTTCAGATGCTTTTCCCAGTCTTTGCTCTCCCCTTGGAAGTCTCATCCATCCTGTCCTTAAAGCTTAAATTTCCTCTTTCATGCATGACTCTCTGACATGTCCCCTCTGTCTGGCCACCTTTGGAGATGACACCTGTCTTTCAAGGTCCATTACCATGCCACCTTCTCTATGAAATGCTTTATTACTGGCTCCTCCCTAGCACCAAGAAAGCACTGTGGGATGGCTGGTATACAGCGTGGGTTCAAGTCCTGGCTTTACTTACCAGATGTGCTGCTTTATGACACTGTTTTGTTTTCTGTGAAATGGAAATAATTACATCTTAAAATAGGGTTGTTATGACGGGCAAACAAGACTTTGTATGAAGAGTACAATTTCTTTTTTATTTATGCTTATATGATAGTACTTGCCACATTTTATCCTAGATCCGTGTACATCTTTGTATATATGAACTTCATGCCAACTTAATTAAGGGCAACCATTTTTTTTCCACTTTCATCTTAGTATTCCTGTAGCTCTTAAGACAGCATTGTGTTTCACATGTGAAACTCTAAATAAATGTTGGTTGAATCAAATTAACCCTAGAATAGTTTACCTAAAGAAATAATTTTCTTTCTCCATGGAAACCATCTACCAAGAATTTTTCAACTTTAATAAGCTGACCTGTAAACAGGGTGAGAGGAGATTAAATATAATTTGGTAAAATATTCCTGATGCTCTTGAAACTGTCCTCATATTCCATTGTAATTGTTCTGTGCTGGGGACCAAAATTCATTAGCAACTAAACTGATCTTATCTCCCTGGAGGCTACAAATGAAAGGGGACTGTTAATTTGTTATGTGGTGTTCAGCCTCCAGTATCAGTGGCTCTCCAGGAAGAATGAAATCAAAATGTTCAAGAATTTCCAAAACCAAAAAACTCACCTGTGTAGTCTTAAAAAATAATTCATAAAAGGTAAGTGATTCTTTTCAAGCTTTTCCCTCCATGACAACTTACTTTGTGTATTTTTATTTCCAAAGACATACTCACTTCTTTTCCCAGACAAAAGGAAAAAAAAATAAAAGAATAATATGAGACCTTATTTTTTCATAGTAAAAGGTACGTCCTATCACAACACAGCCCTTCATTCAGGACTGTAATGTCATTGCTATGGTTAAAAAAAAAAAATAGAAGTTGTAAAATCTAGCCTTAACTCTTCCTCCCACAGCTATTCATCACTCTTTAAAACATTATTATCTTTTTTATATATTATAATTCCCTTTGATATTTACGTCACCTTTTCCTATATTGAGGCTTCTTTTACATTAACATTTTCAAATTATAATATTTACCAGCACGGTGTCTTCCATTCTGAATAATAAGACATCTCTATCTAGCTATAGAGCTAATTCCAACTAAGATAACACATTCTGCTCTGTGGAGTAAGCTCTCTGATATTTTGAATTATTTAGAAGTACCAGTGGCATCTAAGACCGAAATATCTGGAAACCTACCCGTAAGTGTGGGGTGTCCTGGATTGCCCATCTCTCTTTCATTAGGGAGAGGACTAAACAGCTCCTAAATGGTATGTGGGTGAAAATTAAACAATCTATTTGAAGCATCTGTGATACAACAGTGGCAAACAAATCTGAAATGTTTAAAACTAGTTGCAGGTGGAATCTTTTTTTCATCTGAAGGAAGTCAGCATGTGTACATTTCCCGTTGAGTTAAACTTGTGAAGCTCTGATATTCCCTGAGAGAGAATGGGTAAATTGGCCCTGTGCCACCTCAACTGATTTGCATTTTTTCCATTTCAAAGTCCATTTGCATATCTTTATGAACATTCCTCAGAATGTTTCATACTTTATTAGGCTGGGTTTTAGAATTGTTGTAGAGCTTCAAATCACCTATATATTGATGGTATGAGATGTTCATCTTCCAGTCTTATCTTCATGCTTTTTGTTTTCCAGCTAAACAAGTTGCAAACAGAATTTCAGTGACCTCGATGACCCCCAAAGCTTTTAAACTTTTAAACTATGGCTCTCCATCCTACGTTATTTTGGCCACAAGTTAGTGAGATTTCATCAAGTCATCGTGATCTGTAAAAAATCCTAACCTGCAGGAATCCAATAGAGAAAGATACTTAATCTTTGGTATATTTTTCCATGGAGTGGTTGAAGTTATAGATCTTTTCAGGTGTAGGAGAAGATTCAGTTTCAATAGCTTTCTTGTATCCAAATTCGCTATGATGAAACACAAATGCCAGAGTAAGGGTTAGGAGCCTATTTTTATTGGGACATTTATCTGCTACAATCTGTTCCTGCCTTTTAGATGTGAGAGTTACTACTTGTCTATTTATTTATTTTGACACAAAGTCTCGCCCTGTCACCCAGGTTGGAGTGCACTGGCACAATCTCGGCTCACTGCAACCCCCACCTCCCAGGTTCAAGCGATTCTCCTGCCTCAGCCTCCCGAGTGGCTGCGATTACAGGCACCCACCACAACACTCGGCTAATTTTTTGTATTTTTAGTAGAGATGGGGTTTCACTGTGTTGGTCAGGCTGGTTTTGAACTCCGGACCTCAAGTGATCACCTGTCTCAGCCTCCCAAAGTGCTAGGATTATAGGCATGAGCCACTGTGCCTGGCTGAGAGAGAGCTTGAGGAAGGACATCACATAATGCTTGGTAGGCCTAGACTTTACTCCCTACTGCTGCAAGACAGCTCCAGCACACCAAAGTTAGAGTTGCAACATCAACCCACCTTTAATTCAAGGATATCAATTTAGGCATTAAAAGATATTTTCACATTCTAGCAGCAAAACAACTGTAAGGTGAGGAGTAAAACCTGAATAAAGTTGGTGGAATAAAATGCAGATGACAAGCATGATTAGTTGGGAAGACACAGACCCGAAGTGGCTGAATATTTCATCAATTTAAAGATGCCTATATTTTCACATCTTAACATCTAATTGAAACCTGAAGATAGGCTTGGATTTTGCAGGTCTGTCCAAAAGGTCAGAGCACCTAACTGTGCCAAAGAGGCTAACCAGAAGAGAGTCAGCTCACATGTGTATCTCACTTGCCAACTCCAGTCAAGAGGTAGGGGCTGCCGGGGTCAATGAACAGTATTGAAAATAATTCCGAGGCTGTGTCTCAGTGAGATAGAATGCTGTTCCTGTGAGAAAAATGCCACGACTGATAAGTGATGCCTGCCGGAGGATGTGGAGTATCCATGTGACTGCCATGAATTTGCCATCCTTGGCCCTGGTTGCCCTAATTAGATGGCACAACCTCAAGTACACAAACTCCCCAAGAGGTAAAAACAATTTGATTTGCCTTCAAGATGAAAATCTGGTTATATAATCCACTCACAAAATTAATAACCATTATTTTATAAAGGGGATTGTCAGCTCCCAAGAAATGCCTCTCTAAAGGGCAAGAGCCAACTTTCTCTCCCATATTACTCTCTCTGTTTTATAAACTCAGAGGATGCCTTGTGAAGATCTAAAAGGAGAGGAAACACTAGCTATTCCTACAGGATAAGTAGGGAGACAGATACAGTTTTACAAATAGGCTATGATATCCAAGAGCATATGTATGCAGAAGTATATTTGACAGTGGATGTGTACAAGTTCTTTATCTAACCCCTAGGAAGTTCAGTAAGTGAATGAGAACAGTGTTATATAACAAGCTATAGGGAAGCATTGTTTCACCTACATTAGTAATCTTATTACAATATCCATCAATTTTATTTTCACTCCCATTAGAGAAAGTAAAAGCTCTGGTCTTAGATACATCTCTTGTATTTCATCTGTAGTGAGAAGAAAGAACCCTCTTCATTGGCAATTTTCGAATTATTTGTTTGAATAGCATTTTTCCACATGCAGCTCCCCATCTTCTTGCACAAGGATGATATTCCCTAAGAATAGAATTTAGTGATGAATGCTTCTAAGGAAGCCACAGAGCCCCTGGAGCTCATTAATCCTGCAACCTTCTGTGAGCTGCTGGCCTGAAATGGTTGGAGTTCACTTTAAACTGGACTGAATTTCAAAGCAAAGGGCTCTGAGGTGGCAAACAGCTCATTAATTCAGAGTGCAATTCAGTGACAGAAGAATTGTTTTAAATGCACAATCTAAAACTATTTAAATTCACATTATAATTATAAGCAAAAAGTATGCACTTCAAAATTGAAATCTGGATATGTAATCTACCGATAAAACTAATGAACAATTTTTTTTTTTTTAAAAGGGGGGACTGTCATCTTACCAAGAAATGCTAATCATCCTACTTTTTGAAGTGTGCCTCATTTGCATCACAAACATTATTATGAAAATTCAACATTATACTTCTGTGTATTGCATTGTACTGCTCTGCTGAACATCAAAAAAAACAGGCAACACTTCCTCAAAGTGAATAAAAACGGAATAAAAAATCATGATCAAAGATAACTTCAATTCCTTGTTAATTTTACCTTAATTCCACTCCTGAGACAAGAAGCCTTCTTCATACACTTTCTTTCCTGTAACAAATTCTCCAGCAAACTTATGGTCCCAAACTAGATTCCCAAATGAAATAAATGCATAAATAAACATCAGTCCAATTTGCATAGCCTCTACCATAAATATGGCAGCACGTTCCTAAACTCATTAGAGTTCACTGCAAGAAAAACTCGTTACACTCCCATTAGAATATGAGAATTAACTTTTAAAAATTAATATTACAGAAGTAGTTTTACTCTTTTTTTAAAGTAATCAATAATAAAAAATTCACTAGTACTTTTTTTTTCTTTTGTCTAAAGATTAAAAGATAGTTATTTCTTTCAGCGATATTCATGGTGAAAAATAGATACTGTCTAAACCATCTATGTGTACATAAGTTTCTTTATTTTCTATAAGCTGAAGGCATCATTTTTATAAAAATTGAAATAAGAAAATCAAACATGGGAAATTTTAATCATTATTGTTAATTATTTTAGCTGAGAAATATGCCAAATGGTAATGAACATTTTTATAACTCAAATAAAATTTAATTAAAACCTAAAGTGGTTAAAAATTACATGTTAAGGCTGGGTGTGGTGGCTCATGCCTGTAATCCCAGCACTTTGGGAGGCTGAGACGGGTGGATCACAAGGTCAGGAGATTGAGACCATCCTGGCTAACACGGTGATACCCCATCTCTACTAAAAATACAAAAAATTAGCTGGGCATGGTGGCGGGCGCCTGTAGTCTCAGCTACTTGGGAGGCTGAGGCAGGAGAATGGCGTGAACCCAGGAGGCTGAGCTTGCAGTGAGCCGAGATCAAGTCACTGCACTCCAGTCTGGGCAATAGAGCGAGACTCCCTCTCAAAAAAAAAGAAAAGAAAAAAAAATTACATATTAAAAGGTGATGTACATTTCCCCCCCAAAAAGTATAAAGTCTATCTTACATAATGAAACATATATTTAGTTTTCCAAAAATGTTTCAGCCTGGCCAACATGGTGAAACCCCATCTCTACTAAAAATACAAAAAATTAGCCGGGTGTGGTGGTGGGCACCTGTAGTCCCAGCTACTCAGGAGGCTGAGGCAGGAGAATGGCATGAACCCGGGAGGCGAAGCTTGCAGTGAGCCAAGATTGCGGCACTGCACTCCGGTCTGGGTGACAGAGCGAGACTCTGTCTCAAAAAAATAAATAAATAAATAAATAAAGTTGAGATTTTAATGCAGTTTTTTCTTAAACTGATAGTCTCTACCAAATATTTGTAATTAGGAGTCTAATAATATCATGTTATATTTTTGACTATGCTTGTTTTGACTACATCAGAAATACTTTTTTGACTACATCAAAAATACTTTGTGGCACTTGCTATATGAAATAAATACTAGCCATAGAACACTTAGATATACTAAAAAAAAAAATACTCAAGTGTGGAGTTGGCTTAGACTCAAAAAAACAAAAAACTGTTTCAGTGATAAGTACTGCTGTGAAATGATCAGGTTCTTGGTCAATCACATGGTGCCAAGCGATTCTGTTGTTATTATTCCTGAAAAATGCCGTTTGAGGGAGGGAACATTTTTAATAGCCCACAAGTCAGCCAAATCTGACTGGTCGTGACTCATTTCTATAGACAACCTCTGCACCTCCTCTGACAGATCAAATTATTAAATTCTGCTTGGGGAAGGTATGGGGCACTCCTCTTAGTTGAAGCAATGCTGTACTTTTTAATTCCTGCTGAGTAAATAGCCTCAAGTCAAACTACTTGCCCTGACTAATGATCAAACATATCCAGGAATTCTGTACAAGAAGTGCATTCTTCTCTCCTTTGAAGTGCATTGCTGGGAGAGTAATTGGGTTTGTTGAAGATTTTCCTTAGAACTGCAAAAGAATTTCTTGACTAAGCATATAATCAAGCTACAGATTTTGTTTTTTTAATTATTAAATAACTGCTTGTCAGAGGGTGGACACTGAATAAACATGTGCCTCAAAAGAGTGTCAGAATGATACACTACTGTCTCTTTGCTGACCAAGAAATTCTCATAATATTAGGTTTAAAAATTCTATCAGAAGAATATATCATTGTGAAACATTTTGTTCAGCCATATAGTCCTCTCTAGAAATACAACTGTGCCTCCAATATATTAATATCATTGTAACTAGGCTGTCAGGAATACACAAAGATGAATTTGACATAGAACCTGTCCTCAAAGAACTTACAAACTAGCAGGTTAGATATTATATAATTTTTAAAATTATACAAAAAAATCATAAAGTCAGAATGTGACAAGATTATGAAATAAATGTCACAAGGCATCACATGAGAGAGAAAGAGGCTGCTTTTGCTGGGGGTGGTTAGCAGAGGCTGTTCTATGGCCATTAACATTACACGAGCTAGATATTCAAGGATGGATGAGATTTCAACAGCTAGATTGTGGCTGGGAAGGCATTTAAGGCCATGGACAAAGGCAGAGAGGTAGACAGTGTCTAAGAAATAGAGAATAGCTCAATGTGATGGGAATATTAGAAAAAGAAGAAAGGAGATAAGTTTAAGAAGGCAGACAGGGCCAAAATGTAAAGAGCTTGAATCCATATATCACTCAGAAAATCCACTGGGAAGGCTCTTCTTCTTCTTTTAAATTCCAGAAAGAATATTCTGCTGTGCCTTTTGATAGTTAGTTATCTTGGATTGATTTATAGTAAGCATAAAGACCAGTTTGCCTAGGACACTATGTTTAAGCCTTTCTTCTTGAGAGAAAGAAGTAGCCCTT